TGTATGATAATAAAAACTTGATAATATTTTTCTGGATTCTTGCACTTTATTTGTATCATTGTCATATGAGAAGTACTCTTGTCCTTATTTAGAGATATTGAAACTAATTCAGGGCCACAAACTACATGTAGATCTGTACATGAAGTACATGGGAAGTAAAGTTGTTGACACAGGTAATGTACACCAAGGATCATTGCAGTTTCTCAGTTCCTCGTCTGGTGCTAGTACTTGTATGACAAACGGTATCTTTGCCCTGTTACTGTTTAAAATATCAGAAGTTTTTCGCTGGAACAGTTCTGTGATTGACAGTGTTCTTGTATTAAGAATACAGTTGTACAAGGAAGTTTATCCAAACAGATACAACACTGACTCTTCAACTTATTTGCAGATCTGATTTGCATACTTGCATGTCATTTTACCTGTTGTACTTGTTTGTTGCTCTCTGGTGTTCTTGCTGAGACCAGGATGGAGAGTGCTATAAACTTGAAAATGCCATAGAAATCATGTTTGCCATCATGTTTACATCCATACTAAAAACTGGACAAATTATATGTTGCAACTTGTTGAAAAATTAGTCACTCAAAAAAAAAAATTTCACATGATAACAAAAGACTATTTAAATGTAATATGCATTTATTTTCTTAATTTTGTTAATAAAAAACAAACAAACATGAATGTATTGCTTAGTAGCAAATGGTAACGGTATCTCAATCGGGCTGGTCATGCTGCGTTTCACAAGTGAATAACTTACTTGTTTTTTAAGTGTCGCTATTGGTGATTATTTCTCAGTAGTGATTACAATAATGTACAAAAAATAAATTTGTTGAATTGTTATGAAATACACGTGAAATTCAACTTATTTTCATCGCAAGCGAAAGATTTCAGTCACATGTAAACGCTCGATCCGATATGATATCCGCCATGTTTGTCCAAGCACATTCGTGACTTGAAACTGTTCTTTGACCTGATAGGTCAAGTCGCTAATTAACCAATCAAAACGCTGGATGGTGCCAACGTGTTCAAATTACCATAGCTCATATATTAATAGCAGTTCAGCAACTTTTGATGGGAAAACGACATGATTTTTTTGTAAATCAAAAAATTAGTTTGTTTTTGAAAGATAAAGCTGAGCATTGAAGAAGAATTCAACACTTTTTACGATGATAACATTTTCGAAACACAGTTTACCCATTCACACTACCAACAATAAACATCGTCAATGACTATGGAAAACCTAAATTAGACTCTAATCTAGGTGTCAGGAAAGATTGAAATGTTCGAAAACTGATGCCTTAATTTGAGAGAAAGTGGTATATCTTTTTCTGAAATATGTGGTGGCTGTTTGGTTTGTAAAAGATTTGGGGTGCTGCTTATATTTCATGGTTTTCCTGGGCTCAAAACTTGTCAATTTCAACATGAAACAATGTCTCAAGTTAGAGGTGCCACTTCTATTAAAGCTGCGCCAGCAAGTATGGTTTTTATGGTAGACTAAGTATTTTTTGTCATGTGAAAAATTGTTTTTGATTGAGTAAATTTTCAACATTTCAAGATGCCTATTTTAGAACTAAATTAAGGCTTTTCACTCTTCCCTAATGCCTAAATTAAAGTGAAGCTTAAACAATAGATTATATGGTAACTCAGGTGCCTGAGCAGAGCTGTTCATAATTAATTCCTTTGAATGCCAAGTCAGCTTTATCATCATGATATAAACACACAAAATTATCATTATTTTTTTAGTTTGATTCGAACAATATCTGAAACTAATTTTAGTCTATTTGTCTGGAGAATGAATTGTCCAATTTCTTTGAACTTGGTACAAATACAAAATGTGACAATTTTGTTTTTCATTCGGTCAAACAGGGTCGGGGGCCGACTGATCGCCATTTCAAATTTTCGTGTCCACAACTTGTCATAATTAGTAAATTTGTTACTTCATAAGATTTTTGGAGGAGTGTACCCATCTTGTTAGTCCTTGACCGAATGAAGTTCAAAACAGAGACTTCTAATTCAGTCCTTCAGAATCCACTCATTCATTACATATGGCTTCTTTATCTTCCACAATGAATAACATTTTCCCTAATTGCAACAGACAGGGACTGTGTCATTTACCAATAACTTTCTACACATGTTTCAGGAAAATAAGTCAAGCAGTGCTTGTAATATCAATTTACATGCACACAGTTCTGGCTGCTTTTAGTATTTAATTATTGACTACTATATGTGTTTTTTCTTCTCTCTATTTCAGTTCAAGTCAATGTTTTTTGGAAGTTCTCAATCTCAAACTAATTCATCCCAAAATGAAACAATGGTTAAACCAACAACTGTGCTTGCAGAGGACACAGATGAAGATGACTCTGACTGAAAATGTAATAAAACATTGCATCACTTTTTGGCATCTCAATACATATACACTTTGTGTAATATCGATAACACCATCTAACACACACTTTAAACTTTTTCTTGAAATAAATTTACAGATGATATTACAGATTTTCAGCAAAATGTGTAAGCACTGATTGGATATTTGCCAATAAATGTTTTTTTTTTATTTTGCGTTACTTGCATTATTTGTCTTGAGCAATACAGAAATACTGTAAACCTTAACCCTTCGTCCTGAGGACAACGCAAGAATACTGTAAACATTGACCCTCCTGTTCTAGTGTTCTAGTGACAACACACACTCACACTCATGGTTCATAGACGAGTGTGGGAACCATAATTGGACCCTAAGCCAGTGTAATATTAATTTATATTGAGCTACTTACAGAAATAACTGATGACATGCATGACATAAATTGCAACTGTTACAAAGAAAGAATAATTACAGATTATATGTTATCTTAAGAAGGAAGTCTAGTTTTTGAGAAGGTTGGTCATAAATTGCATGACAATGGTCATTACTTTATTAGTCCCCGTTCGGACGAAGTCCGAAAACAGGGACTTGTAATTCGGTCTCCGTCCGACCATGCGTCCGTCCGGAGTCGTATTTCAGAATCCCTTGGACCGATTCCGTTCATTTTTTGCATGTGCCTAGTACTTTATGTGGAACATATACACATGCAGTGATTTAGCAATTCGATTCAAAATGGCCGACTGGCAGCCATCTGGTTTTTTGAAAATGTTGTATTTTGGAT